AGTCAATATTGAGTTATCCATTTAACTTTGTTTCTTTTCTTTTTTCTCTAAAAATACTAATGTTTATTTGTATATTTCTTTTGTATATCAAACCATGTGAAGCAAATATGGATATCTCTCAAAGCAAATTTGGATCAAAGTTCAATTGTCAAAATATTTGATTCATGTACGACACATACAATATTCAAAGAGAACAAATATTTCTCTCTTTAAGTATGTGTAAGGTGGATGTTACTACAATTTCTGGTAGTATTTGATGCTTGGCTATAATTCCGTTTTTCTAGTGCATTACTTACCGTACATTTAGATGCTATAATACTGAACTATATTATATTTGGGCTTAATTGAGTTTATTTTATGTGTAGATGCGTTTAAGACGAAATTGAGAGCAAAGTAGAGATTCTATATATATTTTATACATTACAAAAATGGTTCATGGTCATTTATTAATTGGAAATATTATAATGATATAATGAGGCCATGATTGAAGACAAAATAAAAGAAGACAAAAAAAAAAAAGGAACACTGACAAAGGATTTTGGAAAGGAAAATGAAAACATGAATTTGGAAAAGTTAGGCAATGAAAAAAGAAACAAAATCGTGAAATTGGGAAGTTAGTCAACGCAACTCGAGGTGTAATTGAAGCAGCAAACAAAATAACAAATTGAGGAGTTAGGCAGCAAAGTGAAGCGGCAAAAGAGTCTGGCGGCGCAAGGGAGTTTGCTCGCGTTAGAACTCGCGCCGCCAGGGTTAACGCGAGAAGGAGCCGTGCGGCAGAGCAGGCTAGACGCAGTCTGTCGTAAAGCGACGCGTGTTTCGGATTTTTAAAGTCTATTTTGTCTCCTTTTTTGTTTTAGATTTGAATTTCCGTCTAGGTCTTTTTCCTACACATATAAATAATTATTAGACACCATATTTATAGTGGAGACCAGCTATTGGACGAGGGGAGAGCACGGATCCGTCGTAGAGGCCGGAATTCATTAAATTCCATCTTTCTTCCATCAAACTTAGTAATCTTTACTCTTTTTTTTGATGATTAGTTGTTTTGCTACCATGTCTATGTGGAGCTAAACTTCACGTTCTAGGGTTGTGGTTGTCATGAATATTAAAGTTTATTAGTTATATTACCGTTAATTCGAGTTATCATCTTTGGTTATTTCTTTAATTCTGTGCATAATTGCTTAATTGTTTGGCCAGTAGTTGAGTTCTATTTACTATCTATGTTATGCTTGGGAAAGCCGTGTTTAGATTAGAGTAGAATTAGAGAGAGCTTGTTTCTGAACCCATGGCTCGGGGAAAAATTTCGCGGTTAGGATAGGAATATACCTAACAGTCTTGCTTAGTTGAATACCTTATTGTATTCGTTCTTGATAGATTCAAGACCATAGGAATATAGGGTTGATATATTATGGATAGACGGATAGTATTGTGGTAACATGCTATTTATATAAACGATCCAGTCAACTAGCAATCATAGATAATTTGGATTAACCAGTGTAATTTCAAACTCAATAGGATTGATAAACCGACCACAACCCTGGAATCTATATCTCACTTGGTTACGTGTTTAAATTTCGCGGTAGTAGTTGTAATAGAAAAGTTAAACATTTGATCATCTTGGACAGTAAATTGATTTTAGTTTGCTTAGCTAACGATTAATTTGATAGTAGCATATTTAGGCTTTGGCATGCGTAGTATCTTTCCTATGTGCTAAAAGTGCTTATGATGCAATTAATATGACTTATGTTTTCCGTATATTTAAACCATATGGCAACCTAAAAATAACACATAATTGCATTATTTTAATTACGTAATTGTTTGTATCACAATTAGAGTTTGCTCGAAATTGTATTAAAATAAAATATTGAGTTATTGATTTAACTTTGTTTCTTTTCCTTTTTCTTTGAAAATACTAATATTTATTTGTATATTTCTTTTGTATGTCAAACCATGTGAAGCAAATATGGATATCTCTCAAAGCAAACATGGATCAAAGTTCAATTGTAAAAGTATTTGTTTAATTGTTTCATGTACGACACATACAATATTCAAAGAGAAGAAATATTTCTCTCATTTAACTATGTGTAAGGCGGATGTTACTACAATTTCTGGTAGTATTAATCTAATTGAAGGCTCTGGAAGAGCTACTATAACTCTGCCTAAGGGAACAATATTTATCATAGAGAATGCAATGATCTCCTCCAAGTCCAAGAGAAACTTGTTAAGTTCTAAAGATATCCGTCGAAATGGATATCATATTGAGATAATAGATGGGAATAATCTTGAATATCCCATCGTTACCAAAAATGTCTCTGGTCAGAAGAGGGTTATTGAGAAGTTCTCATCTTTGTCTTGTGGCCTGTATTGGACAAGAATTAGTGCAATTGAGGCACATTTTATTGTAAACCAAAAGGTTACTGATTCTAATACTGTACTTTGGCATGATCGATTAGGACATCCTGGATCAATTATGATGAGACGAATTACATAATACTCAAATGGGCATCCATTAAGAAATTTAAAGATTCTTTTAAATAATGAATTTTCTTGCATTTCTTGTTATAAGGCAAGTTAATTATTAGACCATCACCAACAAAGGTTGGGATTGAGTCCCCCTGCGTTTGTGGAATGTATACAAGGGGACATATGTGGACCTATTCACCCACCTAGTGAGTCATTTAGATATTTTATGATCTTAATAAATGCATCTTCTAGATGGTCTCATGTGTGTCTATTGTCATCTCGCACCTCGCGTTTGCAAAATTAATGGCACAAATAATTCGATTATGGGCGCAATTCCCCGATAATCCAATTAAGTCTATTAGGCTTGATAATGCTGTCGAGTTTTTATCCCAAACATTTAGTGATTATTGCTTATCAATTGGGATAAAAGTGAAACATCCTATAGCTCATGTTCACACTCAAAATGGCCTTGCAGAGTCTTTGATTAAACATTGGTAATTGATAGTAAGACCGTTACTCATGAAAATGAGGTTACCCACTTTTGTTTGGGGTCATGCCATTTTGCATACAGCAATGGTAATTCGCCTCAGACGGGTAAATTATCATAAATATTCCCTGTTGCAATTAGTTTTGGGTCATGAGCATAATATATCCCATTTAAGAAAAATGAGGTACAAAGATATAAGGCACACCTAGTTGCACAAGGATTTTTATAAAGGCATGGTGTCAATTATAAAGAGACATATTCACCCGTTATGGATGCTATAACATTCTGTTATCTCATTAGTTTTGTTGTCCATGAAAAGCTTGACATGCATTTAATGCACGTGGTTACCGCCTACCTTCATGGCTCACTTGATAATGAGATATACATAAAAATTCCCGAGGGATTTAAAATGCCTAACGCATATAATTCAAAGTCCCGCCAAATATTTTTAATCAAATTGCAAAGATCTTTGTATGGTGTAAAGCAATCAGGACAAATGTAGTATAATCGTCTTAGTGAGTATTTATTAAAAGAAGGCTATATAAATGATGCTATTTGCCCATGTGCTTTTATAAAGAAAACAACATCAGAATTTGTTGTACTTGCCGTATATGTTGATGACATAAACCTTATTGGAACTCCTGTAAAACTCCAAGAGGCAATTGATTATTTAAAGAAGGAATTCGAGATGGAAGATCTCGGAAAGACAAAATTATGCCTCAGTTTACAAATTGAACATTTGGGAAACAGAATTTTCGTCCATCAATCTACCTACATAGAAAAGGTATTGAAAGGGTTTTACATGGATGGAGCACATCCATTAAGTACTCCGATGGTTGTTCGATCACTTGATGTGAATAAGGATCAATTCCAACCCCAAGAAAAGAATGAAGAGCTACTTGGTCCTGAAAGCAATTGGTGCACTAATGTATCTTGCTAACACTACAAGGCATGATGTAACTTTTTCAGTTAATGTCTTAGCAAGATATAGCTCCGCTCCCACAAGGAGACATTGGAATGGAATCAAACACATATTGCAGTATCTAAAAGGGACTACCGATATGGGCTTATTTTATGGCAATAATTGCAGTTTATTTATCTGACCCACACAAGGCTCGATCTCAAACAGGCTATGTGTTTACATGTGGAGGCACTCAATATCTTGGCGATCGACTAAGCAATCAATCGTGGCTACTTCATCTAATCATGCTGAGATAGTTGCTATTCATGAAGTAAGTCGAGAATGTGTGTGGTTGAGGTCTATAATACACCTTATTCGAGGCAAATGTGGTTTGAAATGTGACACTCTACCCACGATTTTGTATTAAGATAATACAACATGCATAGCCCAACTGAAGAGAGGATTCATAAAAGGAGATAGGACAAATCACATTTCACCAAAATTATTTTTTACGCATGATCTTCAAAAGAATGGTGATATCAATGTGCAACAAATTCGTTCAAGTGATAATATAGCTGATTTGTTCACCAAATCTCTACCGACGTCAACCTTCAAGAAGCTAGTGTACAAGATCGAGATGCGAAAACTCAAGGATGTGAATTGATGCTCTCATCAAGGGGAGTTAATACGCATTGTACTCTTTTTTCCTTACAAGGTTTTGTCCTACCATGTTTTCCTTGCAAGGTTTTTAACGAGGGAACCAAAAGGCGTATTGTTAGATACGTGTATTCTTTTTCCTTTACTAGAATTTTTTAACCACTGGGTTTTATTTTAGTTAAAGTTTTAACGAGGCACATTATCTGTTGAATAGACATTCAAGGGGAGTGTTACAAATAGAGTTTTATTTAAGATGAATGTCTATATTTTAGAGAGATTTTAGGAATTTTACTTGGTGGCTAAGTCACTCTTTTCCTATAAAAATAAGGGTCCTATTCCACTGTAATTCATCTCAAATCAATAAGAATTATATCTATTTCTTTGCAATATCCTTCTTTATTGTTTTATTTCAATAAGTTAGTTGAAGATGAAATTAAAATAAAAACGGATTCAATTCATTTTAATATACTACTCTACAAGATACTACGCTTAGCCATTTTTTAAGACGCTTCTCAACTGATACCACTCTTCTCCTACTGTGCTGGAACCTGCTCTTCTTCATCTTTCGAAGTCGCGAGCTAACGTGTAAGTTCCCCTTTTCTTTTTGTCCTCATTTAGCAAAATCTTGCTTATTACAGCCAATTTCATTTTACATTCATCTCAGTTCGACAGTTCCTTGCATTTAATATCATTTTATTTAACGTATCCCTAAAATCTGAATAAGTCCAGATGGATTTTTGAGTTAATTTAATTGAACAGATAACTATTATTTTTTGTAATTAACTATTTTTTCGGTCTGCAACAAGTAAATTTGGGAATATACAACAGCTGGATTATTTAAATACCTCAACAGGAGTATTTACAGATTCAAGCATCATTTAGTTGCACATAGCTAATAAACATTTTTGTGCCTAATTTGTGATTTCTTCCTTCTACTTCTCCTTTTGAAGGTTTATTTTGCACTAGTACTCTGAAGTGTAAGATCTCAAAAACCTTAAGTCTATGGAATATTGGAGATTCAAACAACACTTTTTTAAGTGAAGTTTAAGGAACAAAGAAAAAAATAGAGAAAATTAGCGGCGATTGCTAGTGTGAGTGCAACATATTAATCAGCACCAGCAGTTCAGGTCCTTTGCTTTGTTATAATTTGCTGACTCTATGAGGCTTCTCCTCCTTGAATTTGTGTGTTATTGTTAGAATGTTAGACTTTAGATTATGTATATTATCTCACCTTAGAAGAAAAAGTATTGTGTAGGCATCTGTAGTAGCTTCTATCTCTACCTTCACTAGGTAGGTGTAAGGTTTGCGTACACACTATCCTCCCCAAACCCTACCAGTGGGAATACTGGGTTTGTTGTTGTTTTGTTGTTGTTGTTGTTGTTGTTGTTGTTGTATCTGTAATAGCTTCTATGTACCAATCGCTTCACTTATTTTTGATAGAACGAGCTTAATCAAGAATCTGATTACTATTTTTATTCGCGATTTTAGGAGTTTTTGGTCAAAATTGTCCCTTATGTTTGGGGGTAAGTTTAAATTTGTCCTTTATGTATTATCTTGAACACTTATTGTCCCTAGTTTATATAAGTTGAGCACCTTTAGTCTCTGTTAACACCAAACCCAAGCAGATGCACAAAACTAACGGCTCCTTTCCTGGTGCAATGAACATAGCACAGTAAAATAAAACCCAGCTCAGGGTCTTCTTCACCTACTCTCGCCATCAGTGTCTCCGTCGATTATTTTCATCTTCGGTGGAAGAAGAGCTCTCTCTCTCTCTCTCTTTAACGACTCTTCTTTTTGTTTGTATATTTCTCTTTTGTTAAAACTAAATGATTGTAAAGAACGTTCTCACCATTACTTTTGCAATTAGACCGTCATTGTAGAGCACTTTTGCATCAGAAACTAAAAGGTTGAATATGTTGGTTGGCCATTAGTGCACTTCTGCAATTATTAACTTTTAGTTGAGTGGTGAAACAACGCGTGAGAACCATCCATGCTTTGAAGATCATAAGTTTTTAGTGTAAGTTAGCAGATTCTGCTATAGCAATTTCACAAATTTGCTCAGGGTATTCACTCACAAGATCAATCTTTCCACATGCAGCTAGCTAGTCGGCTAGATCAATTTTCTCAAACTCATGTAATTCCTTGACTAGTTGAATGGGAAAGAATCTTTCGGAAAGCTATGAGGGATAAGGAGAGGATACTGTTGCAGAGTATATCATTGGCAAATTCAGGTATCTAGTTTCATTTGCTCTAGCTAGGAAGAAGACTTCGATTTGGGTCTTGTTTTTACGGCGTCAGGTGCATTTCACGTCAGAACTAAAGGAGCCGTTAGTTTTGTGCATCTGTTTGGGTTTGGTGTTAACAGAGACTAAAGGTGCTCAACTTATATAAACATAAGGGACAATAAGTGCTCAAGATAATATATAAAGGACAAATTTAAACCTACCCCCAAACATAAGGGACAATTTTGACCAAAAACTCGCGATTTTAGTATTTAAGTTTGAAAACCAACAAAGTTTTGAACTGTTATCTATAATAGGATATAGTTGAAAGAAGCTAAGAGCTCGAAACTGGCACCTAAGTCTTAAGCCCAAGTTCTGTATTTAGAGCTATGATTGGACATATTTCTGAGCGAAAAGCTCATGAAACTAGAAGTATTACAGTATAACCAAAAGTGTTCGTAAGAAGTAATTTCTTCTCAAATGTATTGCTATCCCAAAACACTGTCAATATATGTTACATTACCACAAGTCAAAGCCTTGTATTCAAATGTTCGAATACTCACTTATCCTGCGGGAGAGGAAATAAGTTTTTGCCTTAATTAGAGCAAATATTTGTCCTAAGAATATCAACCAGCCACACTATTATATCGGGGTTTTCTTGTTTACGGATAGCAGAGAAGAGCAGTATTCCTTTATCTGAAGTGGTGACGCCTTTTGAAAAAGTTTTGATTATATCTGCCGTTCATGGATATAGTTCGGTTGGAGCATTTGGATGTATGCTTGCTTAAACTATTAGACATTCTGAATATGAGCTTGTCTTTTTCAGGGTTTGAAGTCATTATACGATCAGCAATGCCTCACAGAAGTCGGCCTTGACAGCACTTCTGCTGTTTACCGGACTTAATGTTGTTTTGGTCTCAACAATAACTCCTGTCTATGATTTTTTATGCTTCCATCCTTATTGGGAAAGAAGAGTAAGGCACCTCTTTTCCTTGTATCCGTATAAACTTTAAAAAATTATTCTTTCTTTCAGCATTCAATGGCTTATTTACATCTTTTATACTTAATTCTTGACTATGCATCTTCCTTGCTATTTTGCCTGATGAGAAATACATTATAAAACACATAAAACTTGTAATGGTTATGCTTGTTTAAATGAAAATTACAGTTATCACCAGCATTTGCCATATTGTTTTGGCTTAGAGGGTGTTTGGATTGGCTTATAAAAAGTAGCTTTTAAGCTAAAAGCCAAAAGCCATAAGTTGGTAATATCCAACTTTTGGCTTTTGGCTTATTTTTGTACTTTTTATGCCTAAAAGTAAGTGCTTTTAAGCACTTTTTATCATTGTCAAACACCACACAAACTAAAAAAGTGCTTAAAAGCCAATAAGCACTTAAAATAAGCCAATCCAAACACCCTCTTAATTTAACGGGTTATATAGTTATTGGTTACTCAGAGATCTTGCTGTGTTTAGGCCATCACTATTCAGTAGGGGTGTTTCTATTTCCTGTTAAAAGTGGACTTGAAGTGGAATTTAATTTTTACTCAACTTTTCCGTAGCCAATTGATGTGATTTATGTCCTCTCTAATGCTGTACGTTCAGTATAATCTTTTTCTCCCTCTTGTTTTGTGACTCTGCATGGTAATTGGTAACTTACTTCCGTCATCTATGACAGAGAGAACGTCGGCATCAGGAACATGAAGCAGCGTTGAGAGGTTAAGCATCTGTATAAGTGTGGTATCGAGGTTGGGGATTATGTTTAGCCGGTCTTTAGTTTAAATTGGTCATAAGACAAAACAAACTTATAGAGGATGTTGGAGACCTAATTTGCTTCTGGTTTTATTGTGTACCCGAGTTTCCTTGGTATTTGTTTAGAGTAAAATCAAGCAGAGTACAAGTATTAAGAATTACAATCGGAAGGAAAGAAATACAAAGATGATATTAGCTGACCTTTTCTTTTCAAAGAGACTTCTATTACACATTGTTTGAGGAACCTCTGTTGCTCCCTCTCCGTTGGCGATTCTTTGGTTGTCAAACCCTGGATTTGGGTGTAATAAGAGTAGCTGAAGAAGGCTGCATTGCTTGTGGTTGCGGTACCACCATATCTAGAGAATTACTCTAAAACTTTTCTAGATCAATCTATATAGACTAGTGTTCTTGTGCTTTATGTGATAATGCAGCACCATTGCTCACTTATTTAAGTGGTCACACAAGAGAAAGAGATTGGAGGATTTTGTTTCTTTTGGTATAATTTTTTTCGTTTTAGTCTGGTTACATCATGGCCTCTCTTCTTTTAACTCGTCAAAGACATTGAAGTTACTGTCAGCCCAATTTTCCTTCTTTTTTTCTTTCTCAGCGGGGAAAGAAGAATGGGGTATTATCACTTTTAGCCCACGTCAGAAACTATTTACCTCTGGAAGCCCAAAAAGTTTATAAAATCTGTATATAACATACAAAAAAGAGGGGTTGAAAATTTATTGGTTTTTTTTAGCGTCATTTTTCCAAGATATTTATTGTCTCATAAGAAAACTTAAAAGTTCATATAAAGATTTGGAAAGTGGTTCCCTGATTGCACTCAAAAGTTGCTAGAATTTGTTTGTGGGTGATTTTGGGTTTGATATGCACTCTATGAGAAAGGCACACAAGTTCAGTTTGGTACATCTACTTTTCCTACGCCTAAATGAATTTTTTGATTAAGTTCCCCCAAATTTTACGGGAAAAATTCAAAAATAGTCAAATTTACAAGTGATCATTCAAAAATAGCCACAGTTTCAAAAGTAATCGAAATTTAGCCACTTTTCATGTAAAGATAAATCTGAACGAAAACACTGTTCAAAATCCGGAAAATACTCCAGCATAATATACTGGTATTACAGTATCTGGAACTCCAGTATATTAATACTCCAGCATAATATACTGGAGTTCTAGTATAATATACCGGTCCAGCATAATATACTGGAAGTTCATACACATGTGCTCCAATCTCCAGTATATTATGCTGGAACTTTTCGCGTGTTGAAGTTCCAGCATCATATGCTGGAAGTTTATATACATGTGCACCGATATCGAGTATATTATGCTGGAACTTTCCGTGTTGCAGCAAAATAGTGGCTATTTTTCAATGACTTCACAAACGTTGGTTATTTTTGAATGACCAGTCCGAAAACTTAGCCCGTGCTATTTTTACGAGTTTTACTTGTTTGGATTAAGCATTAATCCACTATACGTTTTTTTATTAAGTCTTTAGTTAAAATTGGAGGAAATTTTCACTTTTATGCACATATTATCTTTTTGGAACTATTAGTAATATGCAAGTAGCATCATAGAGATAATATCCTAATTAACTAGTAGAATCAAATTTGTTACAAGATCATATTTTATTGAAATTTGTTCAATTCCTTCTAAACATGAAAATAGCTTTCATTTGCTTTTTTCATGCATTGTTCTGGTGAAAGACATGAGATTACTCAAGCTTTCACAAGTATTTACGCTGATGAATTGTCTTTGTAGGCGTTTGGACATAAGAATTGTAAAATTCCAAAAAACGGTGAAAAAAAATTTCAAGTGAAAATGGTATTTGAAAGTTAGAGTTGTGTTTGGACATAAATTTGAGTTTGGGTTGTTTTAGAAGTTTTGTGAGTGATTTGAGTGAAAATTTGAAAAGCAGCTTTTTGGAGTTTTTCAAATTTTCGAAAATTTCCAAAATGCATCTTCAAGTGAAAATTTATGAACAAAATTTCGAAAAAAAGAAAAAAAAAATTGTATGTCCAAACGCGTTCTTTATCTCCTTAGCCTCAAGTTTTTTTTTCTTCTTTCCAATAGCACGTATTAAAATGATTAAATTTCAATTAATTCCCTTAAACTTTTAAATATAGGAAACAATAGCTATTTCCCATTTTGAATGAACTAGAGAACCTCCTTAGCTAACATTTTCCATACTTTAGAATTATGCTTGAATCACCTATAAACTAGTCAGAATTTTAAATTTTTGTTCATAGTTTCCAAGAAATAATTTGATGAAATATTTTCAATAATTAGAGGAGAAATTTGTAAAAATGTAACAAATTTTTTTAGAAAATGTCTATACGTAATTCTTTTATATGTGCTTTTATATGAGTGATACCTTAAAGGAGAAAAATATGAAGGTATACTCAAACTTTTTAAAAAGAAGGCCTCACACAACTAGTGTCTTGATGCGAGAGAGATCTGAAATTGTAATTTTTATAATATTCTAGCCTTGAGTATTTTTTTCTTTTTCTAATCCAAAATAACAAATACTTTTTGGTAGAGGTGTCTTATCCAAATCAGAATTTACAAATTACAATTAGGTGAAGTGGATTGTTTAGCTTATGCGGAGTCTTGCTCCCCCGAAAGGTTATTCAAGTGATTAAATTAAATGGTGAATGTAGCAGCCCATTGAAACAGTCATATGTTACACCTCCGCCACTTTGGGCTCAACTTGACAACGAGAGTGTTGTCATGAGGCAGCAAGAGTGTTGCAAGGCAGGTGCACGAGTAGCACCAAGTCAAAAAGGGAAACGGGCAAGTGATGGCCAAGGCTTTGACTGAGGCGAGGCAACTTGGCAAGGGCTTGACAATGAGTTGCGGGCTGAGGGTTACACTTGATCATGGCAAAGGCATCAAGGCATGAGGCAGTGATGCTAAGGCAAGGCAAAAAAGAAGTGGCAAAGGCAGGCTAAAGTGCAACGGAAGGCAGCGCGCGGGACAGACGTGTCATAACATTGGGGCACAGCAAAGGACCATGTTCGTGGGCAATTGAATAGGCAAATGTGGCTACAATGCAGCTGGATATAATGGCATTGGCGCCTGGTCCAAGCCAAGGCACAAAAATGGACACCAAGCTTCAGATTGACTAAGTTAAGGGCGGTTACGGCACATGCTGTGCACATGGGCATCAGTTGAGCTTTGCTAAAATGGTGGCAGGAGTGTTAGCACGTTTTAAGGCCATGTTTTCCATTATTAGTAGCCATGATTTACATGATCCTAGTAGTTGGGGGGTTGTCAACTGTATTAGGCTAAAATAGCATGTCCCACCTGGACAAGTGTCTAAGCCTAAGGCAACTATTGTAAGAAAATGGTGCTGGTTCATGTATTATAAATGGACAACACCCTTTATGTTTATGGCATGAGTGAAAAACGTGTAAGAGTACACAATTGAGTTAGGAAGGAGTCCTAAGTCTGGTATTCAAGAGTGAAAACAATCTAAGGCTAAGAGTAGTCTTGTGAGGGTCAAGAGTGATCTTCTTTTGTACACGGCATTGTACTTCGAGTTTGAGTTTCTTTGTATGCTCGAGTTAAATAGAAAGTTGGAAAAAGAATTTCCTGTATATTGAGCCTTGTGTTCATCTATATTTCTGTCCCTTTACTTATATTTTTGTTGCCTAAAATCAGTCCTAACTTACTACGTTGAAAAGCTGCCTAAAATATTCTAAGTCCAAAGTTATTAAAATTTGGCTAAGTGTTGGAGCAGACTGAAGTCAAGTTGAGTTTCTCAGACAGCCATTAGACCATCCCAACACCCGTAGTTAGGGGCTGAGAACGATCATCTATGGCATCATAACCCAAGGGCTGTGGGAGCTGTTAATCACAGCTCTGGTTTAATGGACCTGACTCATCAACCGGACTTGGTTTCCTGTCTCCTTAGAACTCAAGGATACAGTGGTACGAGCCTATAGAACAGATCATGTTCAAGTAAGGTCGTGATATCTTAAGGAGAAAAATACGAAGGTATACTCAAAAATCTCGAAATACTTGAGGAGAACGCGAGATTTGAAATTGCAATTTTTATAATATTCTAGTGTTGAGTATTTTTTTTTTCTTATTTTTTAAATCCAAAATAACAAATACTTTTGGTAGAGGTGTCTTGTGCAAATCAGAATTTACAAATTACAATTAGGTGAAGTAGATTGTTTAGCTTATGCGGAGTCTTGTTTCCCCGAGAGGTTCTTGAAGTGATTAAATGGTGAATGTAGCAGTCATCTATGGTGAAATTTGAGGGAGGGAAAAAAGAATTGAAGAGTCTGTCAGACAGCCATTAGACCATCCCAGCACCCATGGTTAGGGGCTGAGAACGATCATCTACGACACCATAACCCGAGGGCCATGGGAGCTGTTAATCACGCTCTGGGGTCCAATGGCCATGTCTCATCAACCAGACTTGGTTTTCTGTCTCCTTAGAACTCAAGGATACAGTGGTACGAGCCTATAGAACAGATCCTGTTCAAGTAAGGTCGTGAACATAGCCTTCGTTGTCTTTGCTTATAAAGGACTTCTTTGTGCTCTATATGTCGATGTGGGATGGAAAGAGTGTCGTTCTAAAGAGGTGGAATTGAGTCAGTCTTAGTGTTGTGAGATTAAAAGGTTTTCTTTTACGACTATTTCGAAATGAAAGCAGACCGTTTGGTGTTAACAATTTCCATAGAATATTGGAAGATTTAAGAAATTCCACAAGACGGGAAAGGCGCGAAAGTAGGTGTTAAAATGGTTTTTTTTTGTTTCCATGATAAATGGGTTGTTTAATAATTTTGTTTTTTGCTTTTTATTGATTTTTATTTTTATTTTAAGCAGGAATTTTGCTTTGATGAAGATTGAGAAATCTTGCCAGTTCTTGTTGTACCTCTTCTCTCTCCAAATCAACCAGAATTATAACTCATTTATAATTTTTTCTACACATGGAAAAAGAAGAAAAAGTATACACGTAGACTCTGCTAATAAAGAAATAGATTTTCAGTGACAGTTCAAAGAAAAAAAATCTCTTCAAGGTACATCTTCTTTCCCATTTTTCTAATTTCTTCTATGACATTACTAACATATTCTGATTATTGAGATAAGAGAAATTTACTGTGACATTCAAAAACAAAAAAAATTACTGGATAAAAACATCCTTTATCTGTCCCTTTTGGTTGTTGTAGTTCCCCCGAGTCCTTTCCAGAATGTTGTACAGTTGAAGTAGCTCCTAATTTGTCTGTACAAAAAGTTTCGTTGGCAAACATATCACAGTAGCTTACTGATAATATTTTGTTTTGATTTTCAAGGTCAAGTTGAATCATTTTAAAGATTAATAACATGTAGATTATTAGTCTCTTGCTTTGTTGATAAAGGGTGTAAAGGTATCTCTTTGAGAAACTAAAGATACCAAGTTTTAAATAAAATGAAAAAAATGAATTCGTCAAGTTAGTAGCACCTACAAGGCTATAACTATTAGTAGAAGAAATATATA